TGTTAGCTTCATGCATCTCTCGCTGCCTACGGCTTTCTCTAGCCGTATATACAAAGACCCAGAAATGACTCTCAACCAGGGAGGGACAAAACTATTATATAAAATATCCCAGGATCCTCAGCGCTCAGCAAAATAATTCTAAATCCTGGTTATCCACAAAAGTAATATTTTTATAAAAATACCACCTAGTGTCTTTCTTTCCCTGTCTTACTCTTCACGGCTAAATAAACTACTTACACTCAAATATTTGTTTCAGGGTGCCTTGTTAAGACTGGGAAATAAATGGTAAATGAGAGAACTATTTGATCAAGGTACCCCAAGACCAGAGCTATCTTTTCTGATTGGAGAATTTTGGACATACATCACTACAAATTCCTACCTATGAGCACAGACTCACCTACAACTCTGAAAATAACCTTGCCCCTGGCCAGAGGGATTCATGTGGCCCAGCAGAATGATTATGAACACTTGGCATAAAGTCCGCCTCATGACTGATCCTGCTTTGACATCAAACCCCAATTCTAGCCCTGAAATTCTGGCTTATACCTGTGCTCATTCCCAATATCCCATTCCAGGGTTTGTGGGGGAGTCCCTACATTGTACCCCTTCAACTATGTTCTAGGACTCAGATTTGGTTCCAACACTAAAGCAGTACTTCTACACTAGACAAGGAAGAGAAAGTTAACGTAAACTTTCTCAGTGCCACTCAAAGGGGGGCGGGGGCAGAATTAAAGACACTGCTTGGATTCAATGAAGTCAAGGGACATTTGAGTGAACATGATTAACACCATGTTAATCAGTACATAGAGTCCTGATGTGGCAGTGTCGGATCAGCACTGGACTGCTACCACAAGGTAGGTTGGTGGTTCAAACCCGATACAGGGTTACTATGGGTCAGAACTGATTCTATGGCACTTAGTAACAAGAACAACAATCCATACATGGACATGCCACACATAGAATTTCTAGTACAAAGGAAGATAGAAGGCAGACATTCAACGCTGTAATATTGGCAAACTTTGAAAAGTTCCCAAGAGACAGACCAAGTACAAATGGACCAGAGAAGAGAGAGAGGAGGCAGGTAAAGTCATGGATAATATTAAAGAGAGTGGTGTCAGAGAGGTGTGGGTCCTCCCTGGACCACAGTAGTGAAAGCAAGCAGCAAGCATCTCCCCATAATATAGATATTGAGCTAAAAAACTGCCTCTAAGATTGGTGGTAACAACCAGGGTTCCTAACTGTGTTACAGATCTACCTCTAGGACCGATGAGCATAAACCAATCCCCCTAAAAGGGGTGTTGGCTTCAAGAGCTAGCTCTAAAATGGGTAACAACAAGGACTGTTTCCATCATAAGGGTAGTGGTGCCTTATGGTGGTGGTTGGTGATGATGTGCTGTGGAGTTGGTTCCAACTCATAGCGATCCTGTACAGGGTTTCCGAGGCTATAAATCTTTACAGAAGCAGAAAGCTTCCTCTTCTTCTGCGGAGCAGCTGGTAGTTTTGAACTGCTGACCTTGCAGTTTGCAGCCCGATTCATAAGCACTACGCTAAGGACTGATAATAGCAATCAGGGTCCCTATCATAGGAGTATTGTGCCAAAACTGCTTCTGCCCTGGTCTGACTTGGACAAGTGCTAGCCCAAAAGAGTCAGTGGACTATATAATCTCTTTGGTTCCTTTTATTTCTATCCCTAAATCTATGGTTTTTGTTTCATGTTTTAAAACAAAATAGTCTCTAGTTTTCCTATTTCTGAGCTTTGTAGTTACCACTATTCATTCAACAAATATGTATTAACCTACAAAATGCCAGGCACTGTGCTAGGTTCGGGGAATCAATAATGAACATGAAACATATGTTCCAGAACCTCACTGAGTTTCCAATTTAGTAAGAGATATCGCAAGGTAAACAATTACAAAGCAGAGGTAAGTGTTTGCATAGAGAAAGTGAAGAGAGTTACAAAATGAGAATCCTAATGCAGGCCTCATATGCAATCATAAATGGAAAAAGTTATCCCAAAGTCACGAGTTCAAGAATTAATGGAGATGAGCAACATAAGAGGGATAATTTTAGACAAAGGGAATGGAACGTGGACAGGCCTTAAGACGAAAAAGAATGAGTCATATTCAAGGAAAATTTTGAGTCTCCGTAGTTCTGGAGAATTAAGAACATGATTTGAGTTACCTTGAGCTCTGGGGGAGCTTTTATGTTCTTGTTAAGTGCCTTCATGTGGGTTCCAACTCATAGCAGCCTTGTATAGGGTTTCTATGGAGAAGCTGGTATGTTTCAACAGCTGACCTGGTGGTTCAGCATCCTTATCCTACAGAGTGCTTATCCTGCAGCACCACAAGAGGGTAGAAGGATTTTAAATAAAGATAGAATATCATCAGATTTGCATTTTGGAAAGATCGTTTAGTTAGAATTGGAGAATGGATTAGAAAGGACTAAAAGACAGAAAAAATGGACACATAAGCCGTTGGGATGGCAGTGGCATGATGGAGAAGTTGGAGAGATATAAGTGGAAGATACTGATGTCTTATTGGATGTGGGAAAGCCAATGAAAGGACACAACTATGTTGTGGACAAAAGACAGAAATGGGTTTGTGATGTCATTTGCAGGTAAAAGCCACAGAAGAGAGGCAGGTATTATAAAGGGCTAGAGATGATAATGAATTCAGCTTCCGATATGTTGGGTTTGAGGGGCTCATGAGACACTCAAGTGGAGATGCCAAATGGGGGTCCATGCCTTGAGGGCATAATGTGAGCTGGAGGTAATGATTCAGGAGTTAGGAGCAGATAAGATGCTCCCAAAAGATTATGTCAGACAGATGTGTATTTAAGTAACTCTTTTGCTACTTAGCAGCTACGTGATCTTAGAAAAGCTAACTTTACCTTTCTGGTTTATCATTTATATATTGGAGATAATACCTAACAATGCTCAGTGATGGTCAATGTGGTAATACAGGCGAACTGCTCAATTTCGAATCTAGAATTTGGTAAACTCTCAGTAAATGCTAATTATTATCAGTGTTGTTATTGTTATCATTAAGACTAAAAAGAGCATAATAGAGAATCCTAAGATTCACAACCATGTATGGGGAAAGCTGAGGAAGAAGAGATTGACAGGGAGCAGGCAGATCGTTAGGAAAGCCTAGAGAATGTGTCATAGCAACCAGGGAGAGGGATTGTTCCAAGAAGGAAGAAGTGGTCAAAACAACCAAATAGGTCCATCAAGAAAGGACTGAAAATGGTCCCTTGAATTTAGCCACAGAAAGGTCATTGGTCTGCTTGCAAAAAGGCATTTTAGTAAGGTTGTTGTGGTGTGCCATGGAGTCAGTTCCGACTCATAGCGACCCTGTACAAGGTTTCCAAGGCTGTAAATCTTTACGGGAGCAGAACGCCTCATCTTTCTCCCGTGGAAGAGCTGGTAGTTTCAAACTGCTGACCTTGAGGTTAACAGCCCAATTCGTAACCACTACGCTACCAGAGTAAGGTAGTGGAAGCAAAAATCAAGCTGCAAGGACCGAAGCATGATTGAAGGTCATGAGTGGAAACAAATCCTTTATGAAACTTGGCAGAGAATGAGAAGAGAGAGAAGGGAAAAGAGAGTCTGTGTACCCAGGAAGTTTTTGAAGGTGAAGGAGACATAGCATTGTAGGATAAGCACTGGGCTGCTAACCTCAACTCCAAATGTACAGGTGGCTCTTGGAAACCCTAACACAACATCAAAGGCAGATAGGAAGGAGGCGGTATAAAAGGAGGGAGAGCTAAATGAGATGGTTGTTGTTGTTAAGTGCCGTCAAGTCTGTCTGACTCATAGTAACCCTGTATAGGATTTTCGAGGAACAAATGGTAATTTTGAACTGCCGGCCTTGCCATTAAAATCAGCCTTGCAGGCCAGTGATTAACCTACAGTGCCACACAAGGACTCCCAATGAGGTGAAGAGGGGACAAGTATCAAAGCAGAGGAACATATTGGCTCAAATGAGGATGATACCTGCCATGCTGTGACAGGTGGGTCAGAGGAGAGAAGAGTGAGGAGTCAGGTAAGTTAGAGGGACTTCTGTTTTCTTCTTGGCACAGGAAGAATGGTCATTGATGTACTGCAAGGATAGACAGACTAGTCAGAGAAGATGGAGAGTCTTTGAAATACAGACAAAAGGAAACTGCTGACTAGCAAACACCATGATTCCCAGGCAGGATTGATGTTCCTCAGGCTCCTCAACAACTCTGGCCTAGATTAATCTGCCTTGACTTAGTTTGGGATTTTGGATAAAACAAAGGAGTGCTTAAAATGATTAACCATGGTATCTGGTTGGAATATAAGAAAAGAGTTCAGAGGAGAATTTTTGTTGTCAAACTCATAGTGACTCTATATAGGATTTCTGAGGAGCAGTTTGTGGGTTTGAACCACCAACCTTGTGGTTAGCAGTCCAGTGCTTATTCTACAGTGCCACACCGGAAGTCCTCAGAGGAGAGAGCCAATGGTAAAAAGAGAATGTAGTCTGGTGATCCAACTGGATTTCAAAAATGGGGGATAAACATTCTTGGAAATTGTCTAGAAACAAAAGGTTGTGATCAGAAATAGGATGAGATGGGGGTAAAGCAGTTAATGATGAATGAGTAGATCTTTGATGAATGAGAGAGAATGACTGGAGCTCAGTAGCTATAGAAATGAGGAGAGAGGGCACTGTGGGCCATCTATCTAGGGGAATAAGGGAGGATAGATCTACAAAATGATGGAACAATAGCTTAGATTGCAGGGATGCAAAAACATAATTTTGAGGGACGTGGAGAGGGATAGAATAATAGCCTTCCTTCAAAGTACTACGTGGAAAGTGGGGTCCTAGACAGCCAGGTGAGTTAAGAGAGGAACTAGAAGCTGGGGTTAGGACAGCTGCTCTAGTATGCTGGGGTGGGAGGTAGAGAACTCGTAGACAGACTGTTACCTGTCTGTGGTTTTATCATAAGAGTATCAATTTTTCCTGAAGGAATATGAGAAGATGGAACTCCCCTTTGAGTCTCAGGAAACTACCAATTTCCGTCGATTCACTCCGGAGTCACTAGCGGAGATTGAGAAGCGAATTGCTACAGAGCAGGAAGCAAAGAAAGCCAAAGATAAGCACAGCGAACAGAAGGACAAAGAAGAAAAACCTCGACCCCAACTAGACTTGAAAGCCTGCAACCAGCTGCCCAAGTTCTATGGCGATCTCCCAGTGGAACTGATCGGGGAGGCGTTGGAGGATCTGGACCCCTTCTACAGCACGCACCGGGTAAGCGAGAGGAAGTCTCCATCCCACCTAGCTCCCGGAGTCCTTTTGCATCCTGGGTGATATGGCGGTCTGCTACAGACACAGCTAATGGGGGAAAAAAATCGAACTCACCCCTTTGACACCCTTTTTGAATCTTCCATGGCATTTGTGGCGGTGGTAGTGGTGGTGGTGGCTGTGTGCCACCGAGTTATGTCCGACTCATAGTGACCCTGTATAGGGTTTCTGAGGTTATAAATATTAATGGAAGCAAAAAACCTCATCTTTCTCCTGAAGAGTGACTGGTAGGTTCAAACTTTTGACCTTGTGGTCAGCAGCCTAGTTCGTAATCCACTATGCTACCAGAGCTCCTTGGCATTTGTGATGTTGTTGTTGTTAAGTACCATGGAGTCCGTTACGACTCATAGGGACCCTGCATAGGGTTTCCGAGGCTGTAAATCTTTACAGGAGCAGAAAGCCTCATCTTTCTCCCGCGGAACCACTGGTAGTTTCGAACTACTGACCTTGACGTTGGCAGCCTGGCTCATAACCACCATGCCACCAGAGCTCCTTAGGCATTTGTGATGTTGTTGTTGTTGTTAAGTGCCGTCGAGTCGGTTCCGACCCATAGCGACCCTGTACAGGGTTTCCGAGGGTGTAAATCTTTACGGGAGTAGAAAGCCTCATCTTTCTCCCGCAGAGCAGCTGGTAGTTTCGAATCGCTGACCTTAAGGTTCGCAGCCCGATTCGTAACCACTACGCTACATTTGTGATAGGGGCTGATATAAACCAAATCCTCAAAAGCAGTGACAGCTACCGCATAGCTGTCACGGAAAGCCAGCTGTTTCCCTTAGAATAGTGCTGGGCTAGAGCTGCCGGAGGTGTTGCCTCTCTTTGCATACTGCTCAGGGTTCCTCGGGCCCACCGAGCATGCAGTAGCTCCATCAGGATTTTCCCTTGTTTCAGAAGGATGGAAGGATGCAGGGAGAGAAAAGAGATGACTTTGTTCAGTAGCCCTAAACACTGGGCGGGAGAAAGAGGAGGCATTCTACTCCCGTAAAAATTTACAGCCTCAGAAACCCTGTACGGGGTCGCTATGAGTCGGAACTGACTCCACGGCACACAGCCTCCAGCTACTCTCTCCTCAAGAGCACAGGGGATTGGGAACAGAAATCTTAAACTAATAGTCCTCAGATTGTGGTCCCAGGGCCCCTGGAGACCCCAGAAACTTTTTAGTGGATTAGTGGGTTCATGAGGTCCAAACTATTTGATAACAATACTTAGACATCCTTAGTCTTTTTCCCTCACATTCTAATGTGAACATACCGTAGTGAATGTGGAATAGAGGCTCCTGATGTGGGTCAGCGGCATTGCTTGTATGTTCCTGTGTTTATAAAATGACAAATGTCTGTATCTCCCACATAAACCAAAATTCTTTGAGGCCCTCAATAATCAAAATATTTGAGAACCACTAATTTAAACAACAGCTGCTTCATGGCAGTTACCCTGCCTGGAAAAAAAAAAAAAAAAAAAAAAAGGTTCATGTGTATTTAGGAGGAATAGGAATTGGCCTTCTCAAATATGGATTCTAGAAAACGTAATTTAGGTACTGGGCTAACTGTCTCATTCTTTCCTCCTACCAAGAGCCTTCATTCTCCAGGAATCAGGAGAAGGCTTAAAAAGAAGAGGTCTCAGAGGTGGAAAACACAAAGAACATCACAAGACCAGGGATGGTCCTCTAGTCATAGATGAATTCAGTTCAAACAAAAGGCCATCTTCTATAGTCAGAATCCTTACTATGACCCTGATGTTTCATACCAGCCCCTGGGCTGACTGCCTAGCCTTAGAGCCCTCCCAGAGGGCTGGTTAGTAGGGTCTGTAGCCTTTCTAGGATATAGCTTTTAGTCCCTGATACTCCCTAGCTCTCTGCACTTTCAGGTGTCTCTTGTTGTCTCATAGTGCCCAGAGCATTTCTTATTCATGAGCTTGAGATGAGGCACTGATTACTGTTCAACAACAGCACAGTTGTGTGAGGATGCTTGTTTCTCACTGGAGGTCTACCTTCTGCTGTCTTTTGTTTTGTTTTAGACATTTATGGTGCTAAACAAAAGGAGGACCATTTCCCGATTTAGTGCCACTAGAGCTCTGTGGCTATTCAGTCCTTTTCACCGGATCAGAAGAACAGCCATCAAAGTGTCTGTCCACTCATATCCTTTGCGAGTTGTTTCTTCCTGATGTTAGAATATGTGTCTAATACTCCTTCTTTAGATTGAAAAGGGCTATTGAATTCTGAGACAATGATGTCGTGAAACTGAAAAAAATTGTGCGTTTAATGTGCTTGATATCCCAAAGTATCTCCAAAACCCAGAAGAGGTGTTCATGCAGCCTAAATGCATAAGGCTCACCTCAGACTAATCTAGACACAACTTAGAAAATGTCTGTCTTATGAAGGAAGCTTTGCCTGAGGCACTCAGGGACATTCCCACCATAGGATGTACTATTCCGACACTCTTCTCTGCCCACAACTTAAGAACCAGTAAAGGGCCCCAAGACTTTTTGGGCATATGGGATAAGCATGGCTTGTTACTCTGTGCCTGAGCAATGCTAGAGAGAGGTTGCTCTTTGGGCAAAAAAGCAGCATCTCCCAGATGGCAGAGAACAGACTGTGATGGGCAGAGTGTGCACTGTCTCAGTGGGACCCATTGGCCATGGGTTGGTTACTGCCAATATGACATGTTTCTCGATGAGGACCAGCATGTTTAAAATGTCAGCAGCTCAAGGTCTATGCCTTTGGGACATATAATGTTTAGAGTGTGTGTATTATGTTAGTTCCTTTGACTGGGTTCCATATGCTACCTTCCAGTTTTATTTTGTGGGGTATTTTTTGGGGGTGGGGGGTAGGGTGGGGGGTCTTTGCTTGGTTTTTGGATTTGGGGATTTTTTTTTTCCCAAAGGCAAGCCAAAGTAGTAGAATACAGATACTTTGGCTTGGTTTCCAAGGATTTTGCTTGGTGTTTTTCCAAAACTGGAAATTCCTAATGATAAATACAGCCTTCGCTTCCAAGTGTTTGATTTGCAAAAAACAGCCTTGCCTCAGCTACCTGACAGATGGTAGCCAGCCTCTTCTTAGAAAGCTCCAGTTTAACAACAACACAAAAGAGCTCAGTCCCAGACTTTGGGGAAGCTTGTTGGGTTGCCGGACAGGCTCGGTGAGCAGGAAACACTGATCCAGAGGCATCTCTGTGCTCAACAGGAAACTGTGTTGCTGATAAAGTTGCATCACATTTTTTCTTTAATATATTTTATCTTTATGGTTAATCAGGTAGAGCTATATTTTCTTAATTAAAGCTTGGATTTCTAGATGCTGTAGAAGAATGTCTAATGATAATGCTGTTATTGTTGGTAAGTGCTGTTCAGTTTTCATAGCCACCTGTACAAGGTCTCCAAGGAGCAGCTGGTGGATTTAAACCACTGTCCTTGAGGTTATCAGTCCAATGCTTATTCTACAGCACCAACCAGGACTCCTCTAATGATATGGTTGTTATTGTTAAATGCCATCGAGTTGATTCCGAACCATAAGGACACTGTATAGGTTTCCCAAGGAGCAGCTGATGAACTTGAAGTTCAAATGGCTTTTCAGTCAGTCTGGTGCATTAACCCACATTGCCACACCAGTACTCCATGGTTGTTATTAAGCGCTGTCAAATTGGTTCTGACTCATAGTGTTCCTATATGGGGTTTCCAAGGAGCAGCTGGTGAGTTTGAACTGCCAACGATGCAGTGTTTATCCCATAGCACCACACCAGGACTTCCTAAGGATGATGTTGTTGTTGTGCTATCAAGTTGGTTCCAACCTGTAGCAACCCTGTATATAGTTTCCGAGGAGTGACTGGTGAACTTGAACCACAGACCTTGTAGTTTAAACCAACTTCACAGTCCAGAGCATTGACCTACAAAGCTGCACCTGATTGTAGGATCTTATTTGCTAAATAGCTCCTGGTGTTGTACAGAAATCCTTGATGTAAGCATTAATATCTCCATTTTGCAGATGATGAAACTGACATTCAGGGGCATTAAATAGGAGGCAGGGCTTGATGGCAATAGGGGAGAGGTGCAGTGAAGTTCTCCATCAGCAGTACCACAGAATACCAGATGAAGCAGGTTCAGAGCAGAGCTCCAAAACTCTGAACCATATATCTAGGGATATTTAAAAAGTTTGAAGGCTTATAACTAGTGGAACTTGTAGCAGAAGTAAGAAATCCCATACATTAGAATCTGCTGGTCTTGGCAGCCCAGAGCCGACAACTTGGGTGAGACCAAATGGCAAGACCTAGTGGGGGAGCAAGCAGATCCACCATGGAATAACACCACGGGAACCTTGGAGTAAAGGTGGACAAAATACTTTGTCAGTTTTGATTTTCTTTTTTTTTGGTATGGTATCTGTTCATTGGCCCCCACTGTTTGCACACCTCCATTCTGGTGACTAGAGGGGGCACCTGAGTAAGTAGACACCCCACCCCCACCACGGGTGGGTTACTCTCCCACACACACACACAGATACTCTCAGCATTTGCAGAAACAGGCAGCTCAGAAGCCAGCCCTGAACTGTTTATTAATAGGGAAAAAGCCAGAACAAGGGGTGTGGAGAGGGAGAGAAAGTTTAAACACAAAAAGTCCAAAAATTAAATCCTGAGTACAGCATAACAACCAACATTGGCATCTTAAAATTTATCAGGTGGCCTTAAAGGCAAGAGGCTTAAAGAGGATATTAAAATCAGACTCATATTAGGCTATAGATTTTTTACTTCTTCTTTTTTTCCTTCTTCTTTTCTCCCTCCTCTCCCTTTTCTGCAATTATACACTATAATATCCAATCTAATTTTTTTGTTGGTGGTGGTGTTTTTTGGTGGTTTTATTTATTTATTTATTTTTATTTCTCTTTTTGTGGCTGTTGCTGTTTTGTTTTTTTTATTCCCCCCTTTTACCTTTGGGGGACTCTTTCTCTCCCTATATTACCCAACATGAGACAGCAATTGCTGCCATATAGTCAAGCTACAATCACACCCTATGAAATGCCACAATCCAGGCAAGAACCAATACCAACTGCCATACACTAGGGAGGCGGACAACACCTGCAAAAGTTACTCTGAGTTGAGCAACAAGAAGGGTGAAAAGGGAAGCCCACATCTTGATCACCTCTACCTGGAGGCAGTCAGAAAGCATTTAAAAAAAAACCAACAGTAACAACAAAAACACTCAATTAAGTATTAAGGCCACAAATAAACACTAAACTTGACCAAGAAGCAAAAGTAGATGACCATATCAGCACATGTCCAGAAACAAGATAAAATGTCTGAGACAAATGACCTAGAGGTAGACCTGAAATCCATTTTGGAAGAAGGGCAGGCCTTGGAAACACCTGAGAAGGAATTCAGAAAAATCACTATAAAATGTTTCAAAACACTTTACATTGGAGTTGAGAAAAATAAAGAAGAAGTCAGGAAAGTGCTACAGGAACAATCAAATAAGAGGGATACAAAATTGGAAACCATTCAAAACCTACAGAAAGAGGTCTAAACGATCAATAATAGAATATCAGAAATAGACAATACACTGAAAGAGCAAAGGAATAGAGTAGAAGAGATGGAAGGCAGAACTAGTGAGCTGGAAGACAAATCTCTCAATACCACTAAGATAGAAGAGCAAGCAGAAAAAATGTTTTAAAAATCTGAAGAAGGTCTAAGATTCATGTTGGACAACATGAAGAGGAATAACTTAAGAATTATCAGCATTCCAGAACAGGAAGAATCACACAAATCCACAGAGGAAATAGTTGAAGAACTGCTAGAAGAAAATTTCTCTAACATCCTGAAGAGTGAAAAGATAAACATTCGAGAAGTTCAATGAACCCCAGGGAGGAAAGACCCCAAAAGAAAATCACCAAGACATATCATAATCAAGTTCTCCAAAATCAAAGATTAAGGAGACACCCCTGAAAGCAGCTAGGGAAAACAGAAGTGTCACACACAAAGGCAAGCAAGTCAGATTAAGCTCAGATCTCTCAGCAGAAACCATGCAAGCAAGAAGGCAATGGAGAGACATATATAAAACCCTGAAAAAAAAAAAAAAAAAAATGTCAACCAAGAATCCTTTATCAAGCAAAGCTATCAATCAAATATGACAGTATAATCAAAACATTCCAGAATAAACAGAAGCTAAGGGGTTTTTCCAAAGCCAACCCTGCACTACAAAGTATCCTAAAGGGAGTTCTGTGGACTAAGAACCAACAAGAACATACAACAACCAGAGATTGACATACGTGGCAGCACCTCACAGAACTAAATGGACAGATGGAAGAGTCGAGAACAGAACAACACTATAAGAACAAACTCAGAGAATTTTGGAGAACAGTCTATGGTCAAAACAATTACAGAGCACAGCTATGGTGGTAGTGGCGGCAGTTGCAATTAGAGCCATTGAGATGCCTCTGCGGCAGCTGGTGGCACAGGTGGCTTGGGTGGACGCAGGCAAAGGCAGCCAGCTCACTATGGCAACCTCCATGCCTACACCCCACAGGTGCATCCGACGCCCACAGCATCTCCTTTTCCTGCCAGCTCCACACACCGTGGCTCCTCTTTGGGGTCCCGACCTGCGTCAGCCCAGAAACATGACTTGCGATTTCACATGCAGAGACCTCATCTTCACCAAGATGAAAGGTTGTCCTTATCGGCCAGCTCTGGTAAATGAAGTTCCTAATGGAACTGTAAAGCCAACCCCAAACAAACTACCCATTTTCCTTTTCAGAACTCCTGAGACTGCTTTACTGGGACCAACAGATATATTTCCCTACTCTGAAAATAAGGAAAACTATGGCAAGCCAAATAAACTAAAAAGTTTTCTGGATGAAGGTTTATGGGAAATAGATAAATGAAGGTTTATGGGAAATAGATAACAATCCAAGAGTGAAATTTTCTAGTTAGCAGGCCTCAACTAAGCAACCAAATGCATTATCTGATGTTGAAGCTTAAGAAAAACAAACTAGTGTTTCAAAGGAGGATACTGACCAGGAGGAAAAAGCCAACAATGAGGATACGACTAAAGCAATTGATATAACTACTCCAAAAGCTGCCAGAAGAGGGAGAAAGAGAAAGGCAGAAAAGCAAGTAGAAACAGAGGATACTGGAGTAGTGACAACAGCAGTAACATCTGTTAATCT